GTAATTTTCAGAAAATGTCAACATTTCATACGTTTCTATTTTTTTCGAGTTTCCAGCAGGTACAGAACAAAAAAAATCTTAATGTTTTGGAGGGGGTGGAGCCGATTTAATCCAGTTAAATTTAATTTTTAACGGACCTACAAACTAAACCACATCGCGGAAGAAGCGCAGCCACGCTAGAATTTGGATCAATATGACTCATTCGCAGGAAGCTGCCGATTGCACGCTTCCGAGCGCACCCTCCACTGCAACCTGCTGCACTGCAGACGGATGCCGAGAGTCGTTTTCGTCGCTCTGTCTTTGTCGCACTCATAGGCGCCCCCTATCGGAGCGAGAGACACAGAGTGACGAAAGCGACTCTCGGAATCAGTCTGCTCGGCGGCCCACCGGTGTGCATCGGACTGTGACCGCCCGGCCGGCCGGCCGCGCAAACGTCGTTATTTAAAAACGTTTTCGTTCAATTTAACTTTTATTTTTACACGCTCCGTCGGCAGCACCGTGATTCCACCACGCATAACCCGAGAGAGAAAAACTGAAAGGTGGAATCACGAAAGAGCAAAAAATAAAAACGATCACGGTAAAAACGGAACCTGGTTTTCCCCGGAAGCCTAGGGTAGGGACATAGGCGATTTCCAGGGAGCTCCTGGGAAAACCTGGAACCGTATTTACCGTGATGAATCGAAAATGGGTGAGGTGGGATCGCGAAAGAGGCTCGATGAACTGGTAATAGTAAGTTGCTAATTAGTCCATTCAGGGTCCAGTTCAGAGCGAACGGCGTGCAGAAAAGCCAGGCTGTATCGCTTCCAAGAATGCGTGGCGTGCGCGTGCCAACGCCCAACCTGTCCATTTCACTTTCCTGCAGCGCGACAAAACGGACAACAACCCAAACGAGATTCGCTTTTCAATCAACTTCCCCGACTTTTGTCACCCGATCAAAAGACGAAAACACCAACAACAAAAGCAAAAGCACATGCGTCGTGTGCATTATTGTTTTTTTTTTGCCAGTGTGTTAATGAACCGACACGCCTTTTAATGGTGGGTTGACAAGCCTGCCGCTCTCATCTCGGATTCATCTCGGCATCGAAAACGAAAGTCGCCGAGCCGCAAAACGAAACAAAAATCGCGCGGGTCCTTCCACGTCTCTCTCTCTCTCTCTCTCTCTCTCTCTCTCTCTCTCTCTCTCTCTCTCTCTCTCTCTCTCTCTCTCTCTCTCTCTCTCTCTCCCTCTCCCTCTCCCTCCCTCTCCTCTCTCTCTCTCTCCCTCTCGTCTCGCTACGAAGTGACAGCAGGGCGACACCGTTAAAACTCATCGCCGGCGAGCGCCATAATTATTATTAATGAGGCGAGAACACGGCGACGAGAGCAAATACGGGGCAGGGCGTGGCCGGGCGTGGCGGGGCGGGGCGGGCCAGATGTCCAGTCAAGGACTCGGCCATTTCTCCGCCGTCAGTTCGCAACACGCTCTGCTATACAATTATTTTTTCTAATTTTTAAAAAAGTTTTTAATTGGTTTTGATTTTTTTTCGCATTATTTTTTGGTATTACCTCGGGCTGCTCAAGGCCGTTCGATGAGGGCGGCAGCCGACACGCCGATTTCTCATAGCGATCCCGCCGCCCCTTTCCAGCAGACTGATGCCGAGAGTCGTTTTCGTCGCTCTGTCTCTCTCGCACTCATGGGGCGTCCCGTATGGGTGTGAGAGAGACAGAGCAACGAAAACGACTCTCGGAATCAGTCTGCGGGCCAAACAAACACCACAGTGAAAGGGGCACCGCACTCGCGCCGCACAGTGGGCCAGAAGACCGGTGGAGGCGGACAAAATTCTAGACGCGTTTTGAGCTCCAGAGTCGCTAAATGAGACCGAATCGTACGTGTGACCCCACCAATGGATTGCTGTTCGAACGAGGAATCCATTGGTGGGGTCATACGGTCGGATCGAGTCCCATTTAGCGACACTGGCGCTGAAAACGCGTCTGGAATTTTGGCCGACTCCACCGGTCTTCTGGCCCACTGTGCGCCGAGCCCCGGGCCGCCAAATTCAGTGTGGTGCATTTTGAAAGGAACCTGCAGCGCGGCGCGCGGCCGCCCGCCTCGCGGTAAATGAAAGCCAGGCGAGGGGATTTGCACACTCACACCAAAACTTTCTATACGTTCGATCGGGGCCGATTACGCCGGTGCACGCATTTGCTGCCCGCTACACTGCCAGAAACGTGGCCGTAATGGCCGGCCAGCGCGCACGCGGCGTGGGTGGGCGCGGCACAGTTTTAAGCACCAGAAAAAAAAGCCCCCGATGAAAAAAAAAAATGAAAAATATGGACACGCTAAAGGCTTTTGGGTTTTTTAGGCGTAGTTATGCATGCATGTAAAATGTGTACGACATAACGTGGACATTATATGCAAAATTTTTGCGAATTATGCACCAAAATAACGCATAAAATGATGCACTTTTATGCAACGTGTGCGCAATGACGCCCAAATGTTGTTCACAGCACGTGCATATAACAACACCACGCACGTTTTTCGCGACGCCGTTGTGAATTTGGCGGACGTGCGGGGAGGAGGAGAAATCAGCGCCATGTGCAATTAGCGTGTGACAGCGATGAAAAGCAGCGCTCCGATACCGTCGCCATGACGCGACCGAAAAGCCGAGCCTCGCGCGTCCGAATCGGTTCCGGCTGACTCCGAGAGTCGTTCTCGTCGCTCTGTCTCTCTCGCACTCATGGGGCGTCCCGTGCAGGTGCGAGAGAGACAGAGCGACGAGGACGACTCTCGGAATCAGTGCACTGCTCGGCTCGGTGGACCACCAGCAGACTGATTCCAAGAGTCCTTCTAGTCGCTCTTCTCTCTCTCTCTCTCTCTCTCTCTCTCTCTCTCTCTCTCTCTCTCTCTCTCTCTCTCTCTCTGGGGATGGTCCGCGAGGCGCCTGGTGGCGCGGGCCGCGAGATGGCCGTCCGCGATAGGCTTTGCAGCTTGCTGCTCTGCTGCTCCGCTTCCTGAGCCACTCTCTATTAATTTGGGGGGCGATACCCAATGAATGGCAGGCTAATGGACCAACGCGCTCTCGCGCCCACACTGTATTATTCGCGGCCCAAACAAGGCGCCGCCGCAAGGAGCGCCAACTTAACGAAAAAAAAGGCCCCGCCAACAAAGCTACAAAATCAAATTTGAGAAAAAGCAAAATGCCAAGTACACTCCTATGGATGTGTTCTTGCCAAGCACACTCCTATACATGTATCAAGTACACAGTGGATTTTGTAGTGAAGTTGGCACTGCGCAGCACAAACATCCAGAGCGGGCACGGACGGCCGATCGACGGCGCGGAGTGAGTGAGGTGTTACGCAACGGTGCGGTGCATCTTCGTGACACAGGTGGCCGGCCTGGCGCGGCCTGGCGCGGTGGCCTGCTTCCCTAAGTGCCGCTTTGATTGCTGGGATGCGGGAGAAAGTGGTCAAGGTCCACAAATAAGTAATATCCATCCGTTTGTGATCGGAGGTAGGTAGGTAGGTAGGTGCGGACACAGTGCGGTAAGAGCGGGGCGGGGCGGGGCGATCCGTCACGTCCACGTGTTTGAGTGGCCACATGTTTTTCACCTTTCTTCTCTACGAAAACAAAGGAAAGTGACAATCGTTTGTACAGAAAACAAAATGGGCAAATTCGGAGGGAAAAAATGTCAGGAAAGTGTATTTCGAAGCTCTGACGAAATTTTAGGATGGTTCGTTTTGCAATCCCAGAACTGCTCTTCCAAGACAAAAACTCGCACGGAGGAATTGTCATACTGGAGTTTTAGGAATATTTTGAAGGTGACAGGCCATTTTTTTTCTAAACAAATAGAACTCCAAAAAATTTGAATAATTTTTTTAAGCAGAGCGGATGTATTAACAAATTTGCTTGGGTGTTTTCAACTAGGCTTGAATAAAATAAAAGCAAAATTGGCGCGTTGCGTTAAGGTCTTGATTCGCTCCTTAAGTAATGAGTGCTCGCACTGACAGCCAGCTGGCCGCCCCCGGCACAGATGCTGCAGACTGATTCCGAGAGTCATTTTCGACGCTCTGTCTCTCTCGCACCCATAAGGGACGCCACACGAGTGCCAGAGAGACAGGGCAACGAAAACAGCTCTCCGAATCAGTGTTCTCCAGCTGCCAATGGGCGCTGCTGCTGCAGACCGATTCCGAGAGTCGTTTTCGTCGCTCTGTCTCTCTCGCACCCATAAGGGCCGCCATATGAGTGCGAGAGAGACAGGCCGACGAAAACGACTCTCGGAATCAGTCTGCTGGCAGCCCGCCCGGGGCCGCCGCCTCCGCAGACACTGTGCTGCACGCTGGCGCACGCTGCCGGTGCAGACCACTGGACCAGCTAGTCCACTGTGTGCACCGCTACGCTGCTAGGCCGCCACTTTCGCTTTTGTTCAGCAGTTAACCGTAATTACTCGGAATCTCCACCCTTCCTGGCTTACAGACTGCCGGGACCCAAAACACCCGCACACCTCGCCAACGGAGCTCTGCAGCCGAGGACGAAGGAGTTCCAGGACTCCAGCCAACGTAAGAGCACACTGGAACCAAGGACTGAGAGGTTCCAGGATTCTGGCGAACTCCAGAGCACTAGAACCAAGGACTAGGGAGTTCCAGGATTCTAGCCAACTGTGAGTGCTGGGACCAAGGACTATGGAGTTCCAGAACTCCAGCCAATGGTGGAGCACTAGAACCTAGGGCTGGGGGTTCCAGGATTCTGGTGAACTGTGGAGCACTAGAACCAAGGTCTAGGGCGTTCCAGGATTCTAGCCAACTGTAGAGCGCTGCGACTAAGGACTATGGAGTTCCAGGACTCCAGCCAATGGTAGAGCACTAGAACCGAGGACCGAGGCGGGGAGTTCCAGGGTTCTGGCCATGGCCAAGCCACTCATATCCTCTTTTAAGAAGAGCGTATACACACTGTACGCTTCACAAAAGGCGTACTGTTCCGACCCAGTTTTCCCAGTGCACATGCCAAACGCAGAGGGACTCACCTCGCTTCTTGAGCGTCGTCTTCATGGGCCGCAGCTTCTTGCCCTTCAGGATGGACTCCAGCAGCTCCTCCCGCGGGGTCTTGTTGACGTGCCGCACCTCGGGCCGCGGCCGGTCGGACGCCTGCAACACGCGCAGCGCAGCACGTCAGTGACGTCACCAGGACGGAAAGTAATCATTCATTAGCAGTGGAGCGGCGCATTCCGGCGCACTTACACTCATGTAATCGTAATCAATCTCAGTCGTCAAATGTCCGTCTCGGTACGACAAGTATTCCATGATCCACCAGTGTGTGTGTGTGTGTGTGTGTTGTGTGTGTATGTGTGTGTGTGTGTGTGTGTGTGAGAGAGAGAGATTGTGAGAGAGAGGGGGGGGGGTCGCTCGTGTGTGTGTGTGTGTGTGTGTGTGAAGGGAGGGGGGGTGTTGGTGATGAGGGGGAGGGCTGGGGGACACCCTAGTTACAAACAGTTTGCATAGTATGCGAGAGGGGCAGGCAAGGCAGGCCCCCATTCTTATTATTCCGAGAGGCATCAGCAGGTAGAGGTGCAGCTTTCACAACCGCCTTGCCTTCTGCCACCATGTACGTCGCTCGTTCATTGCACGTCACTACGGTTCACACCGACTACTCCCCCGACGTACTACACACCACAAACGCAGGCGCGAGTGTTTCTTTCCCCGCGGCCCCTTTTTAGCGAGCCGGCCAGAGGAGGCACAGGGAAAATGGGCAAACAGGCGTGAAAAAAATGAAATTGACAGTTCAAAAAAATAATTCTGGGAAGTTCTGCAAAATTTCAAAATAAAAGTTAAGAACCACAAAAAAAAAAATTGCAAATAACTCTCTTTTACAAACATGTTCAATGTTTTTATTTTGTACAAGCTTTGGGAAGGTATGGTCCAAACACGTCTTTTTGAAACACAGCAGCCCTACGTGTAATGCTTACAACGACCACAGTTCGCGAGATTTTGGCAACTACTCTTCAATCTGTCAACTCAGCTCTCTTTTGGCGGGATGATTATTAATTTTTTGAATCGCTTATGCACGTTTGGCAACAGTGTCATTGAGTGAGTTGAGTACACCGCGAGACCAGATCAAACATGACGCGCACTTGACTTCCATTCCATTACCACAACGCGACGGAATGGTGATCGTGCGGGGGGGCCGAGACGAAAAGCGAAAGTGTACACACACACACACACACACACACACACACACACACACACACACACACAAATTATCGATGTTGGTTCGGCTGGGACTGCCCGCAGTAGGGTCAGGTTGGGTCGAGGAGCAATAAAGAGTCTCTTCCGAACAATGAGCATAATTCACACCAAACAAGTGCGCACCGCAGCGTGCCTGGGCCGTGCCTGGGCCGTGCCTGGGCCGTGCCTGGGCCTCACCGCGGGGCAAGAAGCAACGGACCGTGGCGGCCAGGGCACAGTGGGCCACAAGACCGGTGAAGGCCGGTCAAAATTCTAGACCCGTTTTGAGCTCCAGAGTCGCTAAAATGGGACTCGAACCGAACGTGTGACCCCACCAGTGGATTGCTCTCCATAAAAGTTTAAGCGTAACAAAAATAACGTCATCTGCTTAACAAGAACAATAAACTTGGCAGTGTGTCCCGAAAACGACACTTTGATGGCACCGTTGCGCCACACTGTAGGGGAGGCAGCCCGTTGGGGGAGCCCCAAAGCAGCGACACGGCGACGCGACATATTGCGAGCCGCGTACAAGGCACCACGCCCGTTGGTCCGCGGGGCGAGGTGGGGTGGGGCGGGGCGCGGCGGGGCGGGGCCCCTGCAGACTCATTCCGAGAGTCATCTTCGTCGCTCTGCCTCTCTCGCGCACCCACAAGAACGCCCCGTGAGTGCGAGAGCGAGACAGAGCGACGGAAACGACTCTCGGAATCAGTCTGCTGCAGTCTCGTTCCGCTCCGTCTCGCTCGCACTCGAGGGCCGCTTGCCAGCAGTGTGAGAGAGACAGAGCGACTGATGGCCGGCCCGGCACTGTGTCAGTAGGGTGCCTCCTCCCTCTCGCACTTGTTCGCGACATGATGGAGCGGTCAAACACCGGCCGGGCAAACGTCACCAGGTATTGCGTCGGCAAACCGTTAGGGCAATGCGTCGCCAGCCAAACCGATCCTAATCCAAGGACGAGCAAAAAAAAAAAGACAACAAAAACAATAACAAAAAGACAGGAACTGCGTTAAGCCGGACGGACGTGCGGGGAGGATTTATCGGGTCTCACAGCAGTCGCGTCTCCGTATTGTGCAATGGCATGTAATAAATAGGCGTAAAAGTGTGTCCCCGTTTCACACACACACACACACACACACACACACACACACACACACACACACACACACACACACACACACAGCTCTGCAACTCTATTCAGAACGGAAGTGGGCTGCTGTTGCCAGGGCCGGGCCATAACAGTGTGACAATCACACACACACACACACACACAGGCTGCAACGCGCTACACATTCCCAGGACGACGGCAGAAACAAATTTGGGGAGGCGCGAGCTAGCGCCACGACGCGGCGACCTATGGCAGTGGGCCGCGGCGAGAACGTGTTTCGGCCGTCCGTCCGGCGCCGTCCGGGCCAACACGGGTAGCGGCAACTAAATACCCGGATTCGACGCCCACCGCCTGACACTTTTCGCCCGCTCAGCCGGGCCGAGCTAGGCCGAGCCGGCCAAGCCGGGCCGACCCAGGCGTCCATAAATAAGAGGTCGCGTCAAACGCGCGGCCAAGTCTCGCTAGCTTTGGGCCCGTCCGGCCGTTATGGGGACATCTCCATCAGGCCGCCGGGCCAGCGCGCCAAATTACGGGGGAGGAGGAAAGAGAGAGAGAGAGAGAGAAGAGAGAGAGAGAAGAGAGAGAGAGAGAAGAGAGAGAGAGAGAGAGAGAGAGAGAGAGAGAGAGAGAGAGAGATAGAGAGAGAGAGAGAGAGAGAGAGAGAGAATGAGGAAGCGGCTCGGCCCGTCTCCCCAGCGAATAAGCAAGAAGGAGATGGCCGAATAACACATCAGAGTGTCGTTTGCAACACATGGCGAAAGTGCTCATAACTGGCGTCCATCCGTCTTACAGCGCGGCGCGACCCATGCCAGCCCACCCCCAACCGCAAGACCAAACTTCCCGCCAAAACCGTTTCCGGTCAACACGCGTCACCATCAGCAGGTAAGAATTTTGAGGGTATCTACATTTAGGACACAAGGAGCGCTAAAATAACAAAGTTTGAAAAAATTAAGAATTTTTGGAAAAAAGAAAAAAAAACATTACGAAGTATTTAGATCAAATTTTAGGCAGTATAACCATTTAATATGTTCTTCATTTGTAAATTACAAGGGATGTTTCTCCCAAAAAAGTTCATTGCAACATGGAGTTTTCAAAGTGAAGCTCATAATCTTGCAGTATCATGGTTACAATGCTCACAACGCTTAGTTGTCAAGAGTTAAAAACTGCTATTTTTTTTCAGATCAAAAGTGTTTTAAAGGGTGAGGGACGAACTGACGTGGCTATGCATGGCGACCCCACAACAAACATTTCCGCGCACTTCCTTCAAAAACAAAACAAACAAAAAATTGTTTCGCGTTCAAAGTTGACAGCACTGTGCCGACACACAAACACTGTCCGGGCGGACGCAACTGCGCCATATTTCAACGCTGACGTCGCTATACATTTCCAGGGCTGCCAAACTAGGAACACCACAGTGGTGCAGACCGCTCGCCCGGTCCGCGGCGACGTAAGCACACGTAAGCCTTAACGGCCGCACTTAAGGAGACGCCCCTCGGACGACACCGCAGGCGCACGTGTGTGTGTGTGTGTGTGTGTGTGTGTGTAGGTGTGTTGTGTGTGTGTATGTATATGTATATGTATGTGTGTGTGTGTGTGAGGGTGCATGCACGCGTCCGAGTGCGACGATGTGGTGGACGTTCCAAATGACGAGTGTGTGACGAAGATTGAAGTCACTCACTACTCTCGCCTGGACGTGGACGGGCGGCGCGCGGCCAGCAGGCCCTGGAAAAAAAGGGAGGAGGGGGAAGGGAGGCGGGAGAGAGAAAGAGAGAGAGAAAGAGAGAGAGAGAGGGAGAGAGAGAGAGAGAGAGAGAGAGAGAGAGAGAGAGAGAGAGAGAGAGAGAGAGAGAGAGAGAGAGAGAGGGCCTCAGCACTTGGAATCTTGATGAGGGTCCAGCTGCTTTCAATTTCACCCTGGCGACAAGTGCCTAGCCGGTGCTCGCACTGGACCAGTCATATACACATACATACTCACATACACATACACCACACACACACACACACACCACTCCACCTGCTCTTATATTTCCCATTCACCAATAGAAAATATGTGGCGCTGGGCCGCTCGACAGAAGGGCCCCCCGACCCGGGCGGGTTCGAGTCCTGTCCAAGTCCGCGTCGGGGGTCAGGCAGGCCGGCCGTGACATAACCTTCCGCTGCCGGAATCGGTACAAGGGACATTCCCTGGAACATTACGAAGGGCACGTACGCACCCGACGCAGCGGCGTAGGTGAGAAAGTAGGGCTTACGTGACGTTAACAAGGGCCCCACACGCCAGTGTCAAGATCAGCTCTATCTCTCTCGCACCCTCAACGGAGAGCCCCACGAGTGCGACAGAGACAGAGCGACGCGCTCGGCCGCCGCCCTTTTTTCGGCCCTTCCCGTCATTCCCGGCGAAACAATCAAGTGTAATGATCACAATCGTAAAAACACCTTTTTTTTCAAACACTTTTCTAGAGGCCCGCGTGCTCGCACCAAGGCCACTGCGCCGTCCAACAACCGGGCGAAGCCGCGCCATAGCAACATCGAATTAAACAAAAATAATAAAAAATAAATGAAAATGGAATAAAGAAAGAAAAATATAAGACAGGCAGGGAAATGAGCGGAACCGCATTCCTCACACCTTCTGCCCACATTCTCGTACTTCCAGCAGACTGATTCCGAGAGTCGTTTTCGTCGCTCTCTCTCTCTCGCACCTACGCGGGACGCCCCATGAGTGCGAGAGAGACAGAGTGACGAAAACGACTCTCGGAATCAGTCTGCAGCGTGCCGGCGTCACGCGTAGCGCGGCCTAGCATCGCAAACTCATAATACACTTGTC